GGACCGTCCCCAGCTGGAAGGAGGCGGTGAGCCCTGTGTGTGCAGGGAGACCAGTGTGGAGATGGCAGGGGCGAGGCTGGCAGAGCTGGGGCTGGGGGAGGCAGGGGGCGAAGGAGCCGCTGTTTTTTCCCAGCTGTGTCTCAAATGCTGAACTCCGCCCTGGTGTTTTTCTGACTATTTCAGAGTGTGTTGCCCGGGCCCACGGTGTGGGCATCACCCGGGAGCTTGGCCAAGATGCAGTGTCCCAGGTGGCCCCAGGCCCACAGAAGTCAGCAGCTCCAGGAGGGGTGGGGATGGCTGATGCTGAAGCCCATGCAAGGCCTAGAGCCAGATTTTTCCTTAAGAGTCTGGGCCCTTTATAAATTATTTTTAAATGGGTCTGTCGGGGAACCTCTGGTGTAGAATTTGTTTTGTCTTTAAAGAGGTTTTTTAAAAATGTATTAGAAAGAGTTACAGAGAGACAGAGGGCTCTTCCATCCACTGATTTCAGTCCCCAAGTGGCCACAATGGCCAGGGCTGGGCCAGGCTGAAGCTGGAAGCCTGGACCTCCACCTGGGTCTCCTATGTCTTCTGCTGCTTTCCCAGGCGCATTAGCAGGGAGCTGGACTGGACGTGGAGCAGCTGGGACACAAGCCGGTGTCTGTATGGGATGCTGATTATGCAGGCGCCACGCCACAGCGCTGGCCCCTAGAGTCTGTTTTTAGTAAGCCAAACTGGCATATCTTTAAGGCCATTAAATCTGGACTTCCATTAGCCACTCAGCCTAAGAGGCCGTCCTATGGGCTTCCTGTCCTCACGGCTTCTGGGGTGAGAACTGACACCTGCTACCCAGGACTAGGAGCTGGAAAGACAGAGTGTAGAGGTGGAGACATTTGTCTGAATTTCAGCTCTGCTGTTTCTTAGCTGTGTGACTTTGGGCAAGTAATGCAACCTCTCTGGACCTCCCCATGCTCATCTTTAGAGTGTTGCTAAGGATATCTACTGAGAGTCTTGCTTTGGGAATTCAGGAGAGTGTGACAGCCCACCACAGTGTAGGACACACAGTGGGTGCCTCATTCTCAGGCAGTCTGCTCCAGCTCTTCCCGGGTGATACCGTGGCCCCTGCGTTCTGGCCTCAGCCTCCTCCCTGCTCTGTGAGAAGGGAGGAAAAAGGAAAGCTGAGTGGATCCTCCCTGGAGCTGCCAGTGAGGACTGTGGGGGCCCACGCAGCACCGGGAGTCACTGGGCTCACCCACGACCCCATCTGAGGACACAGAACACAGTGCTGGTTTTGAATGCATTCGGCATGGCAGATTTTTCTGTGGTGACTCCAAAGCAGATGTGTCCCACCCAGCTCAGTGCCGACAGTCCCCAGGCGTTGCTAGGACAAGTATGCCATCTTTTGCTGCTTTCCCAGGCCATAGCAGAGAGCTGGATTGGAAGAGGAGCAGCCGGGACTCGAACCGGCGTCCATTACGGCTCGAACCGGCGTCCATTACGGGATGCTCGTGCTGCAGGCTGGGGCTTGTGCCACAGTGCTGGGCCCCGGGTCTGGCACTTTTGGAAGCGCCCCCAGCAGCTCCCTGAAGGGGGCGCTGTTTGCATCGCTCAGTGTAGGTGGGACCCAGTGGGTGTGCACCCAGTCGGGTAGCCGTGTGTCCTGGGGATGGCAGTCGGGACCCAGCATCGCATGGCCTGAGTCTGTTGTGCTGAGGTCAGCGCCGGGCAGTGCTGGCTGAAGCAGGTGCTTGGGGAGGCAGGGGAGGTGGTGTGGATGAGCCCTCACCTGGCCTGCAGAGCGCAGCCGCTCCTGGGACCTCAGAGCTTGGGTGGCACAGGCTCCAGCCACGCCCAGAGGCTATGTTAAATCCCAGCCTCAACACTGATGTCTGCGATGGCCAGCACTCAGCTAGGAACACCAAAAGCTCCCAGCTCCAGCCCAGACGGACAGCCTAGGAACCGAAGGCTCCCTCCACTTCTCGTGGCATCCCAGAACCTCTGACGTTCAAGTACCCACTGGGTGGAACCAGTGTGGTGCCAGTGCCGGGGAAAGGGGGCGAGCGAGCCTGTGTGCACTGCGGGTCTCTGAGAAGGGTGGCGTCTGACAACGTGGATGGGACCTGGGTTCTTGCTCAGCTCTGCAGTGGCTGCGGGGCCCGGGTCTCCCCTGTCACGTGGGCAGTGCTTGGTTGCAGCTGGAGCTCCGTGGGAAGCAGCCTCTCAGAGCCTGGTGGAGGAAGCGCCCCCACCCACCCCCCGCCCCATGGGTCAGCCATTGATTGTGGGTCGCTCTAGTCAGGCAGTGTGACCCTCGGCACCGAGGTGGCCGGCTGAGGGCTGGTGGGGCTGGTGTCTGGGCCGTGACTCGGGCGCATGCCCGGGGTGCTGGGTCCGGGTGTGGCCCGGGCAGTCCCAGAGGCCGCCTCGCTCACCCCCTCCCCTCTTGACTTGCAGTTCCAGTGGCGATTCTCCCGAGACGAAGGGCACGGCCGGCAGCTGCGGAGGTCCAAAGGGAGACTGGGAACCAAGGACAAACGGCAGGCGGGAGAAACCGACAAGACGACAGAAGATCCATTTTCCAAAGCCGGAGACGCGGCAAACTGCGTGGCGGGCCCGCGGCAGGACGAGCGCGCGCCTGAGCAGATGAGGGTCCCGGGCCAAGAGGTGGAGGGAGGCAGGCTGCCCGCTGCGGGCCGGCCGGGGACAGGGGAGGCAGTGCAGAACGGCCCCGCTGGCCACAGCAGGGCCTCGGTGGGTGGCTGTGCTGGGCACCCTGATGCAGGTGCCGAGGTGGCCGCCGCAGGGCCCGAGACGGCGGAAGAACACTGAGTGCGGGGCGTCTCTGCTGCAGCCGGCCAACCTGGCCCACGAGGCTCACGGCCGGTGTAGCTGTGTGCCCTGGCGTGCTGTTACCCTGTGGCTTGGCCCGGCCCGCCAGGGCTGCGTCCCTGCCAGCGCTGGTCTCTGCGCATCCGTTCAGAAAGTGTCTTAACAGCCCGCGTGGCGGCGCAAGAGGTCAGCTGGTTTGTTCCCAGCCCGGGCTCCTCCCGCGGGAGGGTCTGGACCACCCAGTGCCTGTGTGTCCCCCACAGGGCCAAGTCCGTGCACATCCCTGGCTACAGAGCAAGGCTGCCCCCCCATCCTGCGGGGGGAGGCAGTGCCCGTCCCCTGCTGCTTCCCACAGCTACCTGATGACTTTTAAGCACCCTGGAGCCTCGAACCCCCTCAGGCGCTGCTGCTTTGCAAAGGACATGACGCTGGGGAGAGGAGGCGCCCAGCCGCCCGGCTTTTCTCGAAGTAGTCCTGTAGATACTGGTGATGTGCAGATGAAGAGGTGATTGTGTGTGCGCCTGCTCCTGCGGGGCGATCGGGAGAGCATTCTGTGTATTAATGCCAAAAACATTTTTAAAGGTTTTGTATTCAGCGCATCCTAGGAACACAATTTCAGGGCATCCAGCCGGGGTGCCTGCCTGTGCTATTTTAATCGGTGTTATCGTTGGCCAAGTTGTTCCCCAAGTAACCGTGTCTGTCATGTGTTGATATTGTCCAGAGAGTACCGTGAAGGCTTTGAGTAGACGCATCTGGCACACCCTGGGGAGAACGCCTGTTTGTCTTGACTAAAACAGCATCCTGTTTCTTCTCCTCCTTGTTTAGTTACTTAAAGCAATAAATCATCCGTGAGTTTAGTGCCTCGTGTGTGATGAGTGTTTACTGTGCCACAACACACAGCCCTGGCCTGATGAGCAGATCCGCCCCCGATCCCGGGCGCTGTTGGTGAGCTCCGAGTCCTGGCAGCTGCAGGACTCTTCGAGGCTGTGGAGCCCCTGAGTGAGCTGTGCGAAGTAGAATTCGGATGCCACCAGGGATATCCTGGCAGATATCTCTTTAAAAAAATACGCCAGGGGCAGGTGTTGGGATGCCCACACCCCGTACAGCGCCTTAACTCCAGTCCCGCCTCGCTTCTCATCCAGTTCCCTAACACGCACCCTGGGGGCAGCAGGGGATGGCTCAAGTAATTGGGTCCCTGCCTCCCAGGTGGGAGACCAGGATGGGGTTCTCGCTCCTGACTTCAGCCTGGCCCAGCCCGGACTCTGGCTGGCATTCAGGGAGATAATCATTGGATGCAGGATTTATCATTTTTTAAAAAAGATTTTATTTATTTATTTGAGAGGGAGAGACAGAAAGGTCTTCCATCCACTGGCTCATTCCTCAAGTGGCCGCAAAGGCCAGAGGTGGGCCAGTCTGAAGGCAAGAGCTCCTTCCGGGTCTCCCACTCGGGTGCAGGGGCCCAAGGACTTGGGCCATCTTCCACTGCTTTCCTAGGCCACAGCAGAGAGCTGGATCAGAAGAGGGACAGCCAGGACATGAACTGGCATCCGTAGGGGATGCCGGCACTGCAGGCGGAGGCTCAGCCTACTATGCCGCAGCGCCAGCCCCCATCACCCTTTTTAAACAAACAAAAACAACCCACAAAACTTAAAAAAAAAGTGTTCATCGGCAATAGCAGGAAAAGTAGTGTATACAACCCCAGCTGGAGGAGCTTACACCCCTCCACTTGGGGCACAGTTTTCTTTTCTTTTCTTTTCTTTTTTTTTTTTTTTTTTTGACAGGCAGAGTGGACAGTGAGAGAGACAGAGAAAAAGGTCTTCCTTTTGCCGTTGGTTCACCCTCCAATGGCCGCCGCGGCCGGCGCGCTGCGGCTGGTGCACTGCGCTGATCCGATGGCAGGAGCCAGGTGCTTCTCCTGGTCTCCCATGGGGTGCAGGGCCCAAGCACTTGGGCCATCCTCCACTGCACTCCCTGGCCACAGCAGAGAGCTGGCCTGGGAGAGGGGCAACCGGGACAGAATCCAGCACCCCGACCGACCGGGACTAGAACCTGGTGTGCCGGTGCCACAAGGCGGAGGATTAGCCTAGTGAGCCGCGGCGCCGGCCACAGCTTTCAATAATTGACATTTACACTGGTTTTATTTGCTGTAGGGAAAAAAGCTTACAGGTGACTGTAGCTGATTCGCATCCCTCAGGGAATCTGGCCATAGTCTCAGTCTAACATTCCTGAAGGTCTTGTTTTTTGTTTTTGTTTTTTTTTTCTTCCTTGCTTCTCTGCACCCCTGGAGATTCTAGCAAAATATCAGGCCATGGTGGAGGTTCTCAAATTAGCTGCCCCTTGGAATCACTGAGGGAAGCTTCAAAAAAATTCTAATGCCCAAGGTCCCACCCCCAGAGCCTGTGAAGGAATGAGGAGTGACCAGGCGTCAGGACTTGTTTGAGAGGTGTGGGGGTAGGGAAGGGAGGGCAGAGCGCCCTTCTGCTGCTCACTCCCTGATGCCTGCAGTGGCCGGGAGCCAGGAATTCAGCCCAGGTCTTGGCCATGTGAACAGCAGGAACCAAAATGATTCAAGCCATCATGTGCTGCCTCCCAGGGTGTGCATTAGCAGGAAGCTGGAGTCCGGCGCCAGAGCCCAGGCTCTTCAATGTGGGCTGCGGGCATCTTAGCTGGAGCCTTAGTCGCTAGATCCAGCTCCACTACGTACATAAGCGCCGGGGTCTCAAAGCCACAGGGACATTCCAAGGGACGGCCAGTCTGGAGAACCACTAGCCATCGGACTCTCCTTTAGGAGTGGAATCACAGCTTGTTCCCTGTGAAAAGAGGTACCATTTACAAGTAGCAGATAACCAAGGACCTAAAACCCAATCCCAGTATCTTGCATGTGCATTAAAAAAAGGGTTTATTTTTATTTATTTGAAAAGCAGAATGACAGGCAGAGACAGATTTCCCATCCTGTGGTTCACTCTCCAAATCTCTCCAGCTGGGCCGGGCCTGAGCCAGGGCTCAGCTGGGTGGCAGGGACTCAGCGTGGGAGCCATCGCCTGCAGACTCCCAGATGCCTTAGCAGGAAGCTGGCTGAGAGCAGAGGTGGCAGCGGGACTTGATGCCAGGTGCTTGGATATGGGGTGTGGGTGTCCCAAGCCGTGGCTTGACCTGCTGCATGACAACATCTACCCCTTGAGTGTGCATTTCTAGTGTGCACTACTGTGATTAGCCCATAGTGGAAAAAGCCTTTGTTTGCACTGACGAGGCCCCAATAAGCAGTACAACCTGCAAAGACTTGCAGTGTTTGGCAGGAGGCAACTTGTGTGCGTGGGAGACAATCTTTGGGGCTGCAGCTGTCACAGAGTGGCAGTGCCAGGAGCGAGGAATGCTGGGGCTGATGGCGCCGGGGAAGCTGTGGCTGAGTTCCCATTCCCCCTAGGAGAGCATCTTCACCTCCAAGGCTCAGGAGAGAACAGTGGGCGGGGCTTAGCATCACTCACTGAGCACGAGGGGAGGGGGAGGCCTCATCACATGCAAAGGCAGGTGATGCTTCCGAGGGCACACAGCCACGCCACAAGGTCACAGAACTGACATATGGAGAGCCTGTGGAGGCCTATGTCAGTGAAGCAGTATTGCTGACTGACGCCGGGCTCGGTGCAGTGGAAAAGCCTGGTGGGTCTTTGGAATTGGACGGAGCCAGTTAGGACACGAACTGTACACGGTCTACTCGTACAGCTTCAGATTCATCTCTCCACATCGCCTGGCACCAGTCTCAGGTGTGGACTGGAGTTAACGGCAGGCGCCTCGTCAGGTTATTGTGGCTGGGTGTGTGACGGGATCATCAGCGGGTTAAGCCACCGCTTGGACGCCTGGATCCCATAGCGGAGGGCCTGGGGATTGAGTCCCGGCTCCTGCTAATGCGCACCTTGGGAAGCAGCAGTTAACAGCCCAAGTGCTTTGGTTCCTGCCACCCATGTGGAAAACCAGGATGGAGCTCCTGGCTTCAGCCTATCGTGGACATTTGGGGCGTGACCTAGCAGAAACATTTCTGTGGGTAGTGAGAAGACACAGGTGGAGTGCCTGGCCTGCGGCCAGCACTCGGGTAGCAGTGAGTCACGCGTGGATGCCTGGCAGTGCTCGCCAACACCGGGCTTCTGCAGTGCCTGCCCACCTGTGGCTTGAGGCCAAGGGGCCCGAGCAGACGTGCTGGAAGCCACTTCTGGACCTGACCTGCGCCTCCAGCAGCCTCGGGGTGGGAAGATGGAGCGCGACAGGGGTGTTAAGCCTGTGCTGTGCTGTGCTGTGCCAGAGGCGTGCAGGTGTATCTGTTCACGGGCCGCAGAACAGCCCATCTTAACTACACACTACAGTGACACTTGGGGGGTCTTCCTTTCCTCAGTACGGGTCTCTACGGAACACCAAGGCAGAGTTGAGGTGAATCCGCGTCTGTTTTTTCCAGCCTCCAAACTGATCACACTTCACCTGGGTTGACGACGCTTGATGGGAGCAGCTTCAAGGAAAAACGGAACTGAACAAAGCCCCAGCTTGTTCTGACTTACTTCTTATGAAATGCACTTTGTCAGTCTCTCGGCATCTTTACTCGTGGCCTGATCTAAACCAGAGACTGTCTGGGGAGGACAGCTCTGGCTGTGGCGGTGCCTGTCGGGAGGGAATCTCGCCACTCCGGCAGCCCTGCCGAGCTGAGCCACACCCAGCGCAGGGGCACCGTGCTGCTCTGCTGGGCTCAGGGGAAGCTGTGAAAGGGTTGGCAGGGGGAAAGGATGAGGACGGTGGGCGTGCAGGTGCAGCCGGAAGTTCAGCACCGACTGCTGGTTGCCGCTGTGGGCCCCTGAAGGCAGTGCTGGGAGGCCCTGTGCACGCAGGGCACGGCAGGCCTCCGGTGAGTGGCTCCAGCCCCTCGCACGGACCCGACACATGGACGGATGCAGCTCTCAGGATCGCCTGCGTAGCCTGTACCTGGATCCCAGAGATTGGAACAGGGAAGACTGGAGCCCTGAGATAGAGGACAAGACCCAACAAGCCTCGCTGGGATTTCTCAGTTGGCTGTCGCCTGCTTCTGTGACCACAGCGAGCACGAACCCCAGAGCTGCAGACTGTCAGCCCTCTGAACCCCGCCCTTGCTTCCCCGAGGCCCGGCCCCGCCCTCTGGCCGAGGCAGCCGGCTGCTGTTTACGTGGGCTCCAAGGATGGAGCGTTTACCACACAGACATTTTTAAAATTCCTAAACCACTGTGCTGGAGCTGAAGACAGCAGCATGTAGGGGCTTGGGAACCCTGGTGGGTATTCTGGTGTTTGTGTAAGAGGACGGGTGACCACTGGTCAGTTTCAAGTGGGGAAACAACATCGGATTTGCATCTCAGAAGGCTGTCTCTCTGCTGAGTGAGAATGGTGTGCGCAGGCCCAGGGAGAGTACATGGACGGACCGAGCAGCCCATGCTGTAGCGCAGGTGGGGGGTGCTGGTGGCCTGCACCATAGACAAGGGCACGGACATCCCGAGAGCGGCCTGGGTGCAGCTCCACATGGACCCTGGAAGAGGCTGGGGAGTACGGGAGGTGCCGGTGCTCCCCGCCTTCCAAGATCAGATGAGCACCGTCCTGAGCAGAGGCATTCCTCGGTGTGACAAGCATGCCAGTGACGCTGCTGCTGCTCCGAGCTTTTCTGGAACCTACCACGCGTTCGTCTTCAAGGCTACAGTGGCTGGTTCAACACCCGCCAGCAGAGTCGCTCAAATGGAAGTTTCAGTACCTTCCTCGTGACCAGGTGCACGGTCTGTAATCCTTGGAAGTAGAGGAGTCTGAGAAACAGCAGGCGGTGGGCAGGTGCCTCAGAAAGCAGGGCCGTGAGGACCGTCTTGGGCGTGAGGGGCAGAGCCTGAGTTTGGCCCCCAAATGACTTTTAATGGTGACTCAGTTACAGCCACGCTGTTAGCCAGGAGCCACTAGGGAACCACTCTGGCTGCCAACTGCGGGGACTGCCATCTTGCAAATGAGATGAAGGGAGTCATTCGTCCAGAGATGGTTTAAAACACGAGCCTGGGGCTGGCGTCGTGATGCTGCGACATCAGCATCCCATATGGGTGCCAGTTTAGGTCCCGGCTGCTCCATTTCCAATCCAGCTCCCTGCTAACGGCCTGGGAAAAGCAGTGGAAGAGCCCCTGCACCTGGAAGAAACTGACTCCTGGCTTCGCCTGGCCCAGCCCTGGCCAGTGCAGCCATCTGGAGAGTGAACCAGCAGATGGAAGATCTCTCTCTCTCTAACTCTGACTTTCAAATAAATAAGTCTTTAAAAAAATTAAAAAAGATCCCTTGAGAGCTGACTGGTGAATGGAGGCTTTCGCGCTATAACTGTGCAGTACAACAAACTTGTTATTTAAAGGTACTGTTAGTCACTAGCCATTACATCAAGCATGGATCTGGACTTTTCTCCCACCTCTAAACAAGGCTTCCCGATGGCAGGACACAGATCTCACCACTCGGGGGGATCGCGGCAATGCTTCCCGGGATGGAACTCTGTGAACTTTCGATCCTGAGCGCCCCCTACACTGCTGATTCTTCAATGAAGAGAACAAAAGCCTTGTCAGAGAACTGTCAGCAAACTGGCCAGTGTTGGTCCACAGAAGCCTGAGGTTGTGCCTGTCCTAAACGCTTCCTTTTTATGAACCAGGAGCACCGTCAACCCGGCCCTGTCTCGGTCAAGTCCGCCTTACATCCCAGCAGGGAAGTGCTCTCCGTGTGTTTGCTATTTGCACTGATTCCACCGCTTCTCTGGGGCCCTGACTCCAGGATTCAGTCCGCACTACAGTCTACAAGTTGCCTACATCAAACCACACTTCTCCCTTGCTTCATTCCGTGCCAATTTTTTCTTCTGTCAACTCTGGAAATTGCAAACAGCAGTCACTGCAACAATGAATCAAATATTTGAAGACACTGCTTAGTCACCTCGCATCAGAATGGTCCATCCAGCTCCTCCTATCTCTAAGGCCACTTCTCCATCACTAATGGTGAAGCTAATTGGATCTTAGATGGCACAGGCCTACCACTGGGCACCAGGAAAGATGGGTGTGGGGGTAGGGTGGGGTGGAGGCAGGGAGTCGCAGCAGCAGGGTACAGAACGGGGATGGCTGAGGCCTCTCATTCCTGGCGCCATGTCCTTCTGACCACACGGCACAGACACCCAATCTGCCTCACTTTTTTGTTTTTCCTCTAGGCTTCTACAATCTCTAAGAACAAAGAGGCCATGTTGGGTAAAAGCGAAAGAGAACACCTTCTCACTTAGCTAGGATGTTCTGGAGATGGGAGCTTGGGTTAACTGAGTCTAAAGATGGAAGCAGACCCAACCCTGCAGTGAATTCTGGAACAAGCCTGGGTCTGAGAGCCAATGACGAGCAAAGTCCTCTAACAGGACAGGAGGAAAAACCAAGTTCTAGGGGCTGGTGCTCTGGCGCAGCGGGTTAAGCCACCATCTGCAGTGCCAACATTCCATACAGTCGCTAGTTCATGTCCTGGCTGCTCCATTTCCAATCCAGCTCCCTGCTAATGTGCCTGGGAAAGCAGTGAAGGATGACCCAAGTGCTTGGGCCCCTTCACCTATGTGGGAGACCCAGACGGAGCTCCTGGTTCCTGGTTTCAGCCTGGCCCAGCCCCGGATGAAAGACCTCTCTCTAACTTTGCCTTTCAAATAAAATAAATCTGTCACTCGCTCCAGCCACTTGACCTTGGGCAAGCTACTGTCATTTCTCATATTGGTAAAACAGGACAGAATCATTCAGTCTGACATAAATGTTATAGAACAATCTAATGAGAG